GAAAAGTAGGGAAAAAAAACAATTTGTCGGGAGAAAAAAAGATATACATCATATTAGTAGACTATCTATTAATAACCCTCTGAAACTCCTAAATTGTCACATTTTCTGGGAGATCAGCTTCATGGACCACTTTCGAAACATTTTAATTGCGCCCGACCACGCTCACTTTGCTTTCGTTCTGGAACTTTCACCCACCCCTCCTCCTCCCCCCTCAAAAAAGAACATACCTTGCACTTTATTTTCCCCCATCCCCAGATGTTTTCGCCGCCACTGTCCATGTGTCTACTTCGTAAAAGTAAAAAAGTATTTAACTGTTTTCTATCCAACCAAAGAACCTTCGGACGAATGGGCCTTCTGACCAAAGACCATTCTTACCAAAGGTACGCACCCATCTTCACAACTTGTAGAAATATCACAGCGTTAATGTTTTTCATATCTATATTGAAATTGATTGTATTTTTTGTTAACACTTTGTCAGACTTTATCTTTGTTGTACTTCCTCCATCTTAATTATGTTTTTGTATATTTTTTATTTATGATGAAAAAATATGATTGATGTATTGATTTCAATGTGGTCGTTTTTGTTTTTTGTTTTTTTTTATTTTTTATCATTAAACCCTGACATTTATACATACGGTGTTACCCGTTTGTCCTGTTAGAAGTTTAATACTTGATTGGAGAGTAATGTCAATCGCGTTTTGACGGGAGTGCATCACATTTATATTGGACAGATGATTGTCGAAAGACTTGCACCAAGTCATGTTGACCTATCTAACTAACGCATTTCTTTTTTTAAACAGCAGACTCTTCCATATTAGTTTGAAATAAATGATTTTAAATGATCTTTAAAGTGGTCACTTGCACAAACATGATAGCGATTTTCAAGGATTTAAAATGATACTGCTTTAGCTTTCGGACTCTTTAAATGGATGAAGATTATTGAAGGATTCAGTTAGGTTCCGAACTAAGGCGGAAGCAGAAACACTTTTGCATAATTACATTTTATTTTGTGTTACCATGGAAGTCACGTAACACTTTATATCGTTTGTTGTAGTATTTGTTTATTTTTACTTTTTATATTTTATTTGTTTTATAGGGTGGTAAAACAATTCTTCATGTCTTATCTTGGAAAGGACGCGAGCAAGAATTGAGACAAACGTTAGAAAAAAACTCAGAAGATGTTAACAAGATAACTACCGTCAGTGCATTAAAAACACTATTCACTATAGAGAACTAATAACTACATATAACTAAATATAGATATATATATATATATGAACTAAATATATACATATATATATATATATGATATATATATATATATATGATATATATGATATATATAATATATATATAACATAATATATAATACATAATATATAATATATATAATTGTATTTATTGTATAAATATATACATGACGAGATGAAAAATAAAGACT